AGGGAAGGTGAGGTTTGAGAGAAAGGAAAAGACTGAGCCAGGAAAGGCTCCAGCCTAGGCAGATCTGGGAATCTCTCTTCACTCCTACCCAAACCTTAAACTTTCCCCCTTTTCATCACCTTCACTACCCCAGGCTTCTGCTGCTACTCCCAAAAGGGGAAGCCAAAGCCAGAAAGGACAGCACAGAGGAAAGGACACTGATGGCCTTCCCTTCAGCATGTCAGCCCTCTCAGGCAGAACCATTCATAGCCCTTTTCTGCTCCCTGTAACTGGAGAGCCCAGAGCAGGTCATCTGAGGCTGGAGGCCCAAGTGTGCTGGGGGGAAGGGGGAGGGGTGAGGTCTCTAAAGCAAGATAAACTGAAAGGTGATGGGTGAGAAGTTTATGCAGCTAGGGCCAGAAAGGGACACACCAAGTGGGGCCTGGTTTATCAGTCCTGGGATGCAGACAGAGTAACTCCCCCACCCCCAAGAGGGAAGAATGAGAGGCAGAGAAGCTGACATGCCCAAGGGGCCAAACTGGGGCATAAGGAGTTCTCTTGACTCACAGTCTCCATTCCCTTCTCTCTTTTTTTTTTTTTTTGGTGGCACTGGGGTTTGAACTCAGGATCTCACACTTGCTAGGCAGGTGCTCTACTACTTGAGCCACTCCACCAGCCCCATTTTTGTGATGGATATTTTGAGATAGGGTCTGGAGAACTATTTGCCTGGGGCAGGTTTGAACTGAGAGCCTCCTGATCTCTGCCTACTGAGTAGCTAGGATTACAGGCATGAGCCACTGGCACCGGGCTCCCTTCTCTTTCTTAACAAGGGTTCTTCCATGCCACCCACTGGCCTGTGTGAGCCTACAAGGGAGTATCCAGCCCCTCCCAGTCCCAACTTTGAGTGGCTGCCCCAGCTCCACATCCTAGCTTTACCTAGCCCAGAGCAAAGAGGGAAACGGGCCCATGCCAGGCACAGAACCGAATGTGCAGCTGTTGATCCCTGACATGGCTCATGCCCAGATTCCAGGGGTAGGAGCTAAGGACTAAGACAGGAGTGCACCAGGAGCCTTCCAACGTAAAGCATCACCAGGAACAGCTGTCCATTTCAGAGCTGGAAGCAACAAGGCTTAGGAGTTGCTGGGACATAATAGCAGAACCACGACTGAACTGGGGTTCTCTGGTTCCTGGTGCGAGGTGCCCGGGCAGTCTGACCAAAGCGCTGGTCAGGGGTAAGCTATTTAGTGTCCTGGTGAAGTGTGAATGAGCAGCTGGGAGCTGCCTCAGGAGCTGGAGACAGGCTGAAACAGAAGGGAGAAGGCAGGGACCAAACAGGGCTGGAATGGTCTCTGGTAGAGGTGGGAAGAGGATGAAGGAGAGATGGAGCATACCTGGTACCTACGTCTTTACCCGAATCCCCAAAAAGCCTCCACCAGCGCAAAGATGTCCTTCGGGCCCAAGAATGCCCAGTAATGCTAGAGCATCTTCTCAGCCTCAGTTTCCCCATTTATGAGAGAAAGGAGCTGGCCACATCTGTGTCCAGCTTTTCAAGGTGGCAGTGGGAAGATGTCTGCATCCAAAGATGCCATCCGAATAGAGTGCTCCCCAGTAGCAGGCAAGCCACGGGATCCTCCTCCCCTTCCCTCAGCTTCTACTCTCCCCCTCCCCTAAGCCGCCGGGCCCCGCTCCCGCCCCGCCTCCGGTGTGAGGTGGGGGACGGGCGGCGGGCATAGCCGAGAGAAGCCGAGTGCAGCGGACGCCGCCACCTGATCCCATCCAGGCGCAGCCAGGCGAGAGACAGGCACTCTGCGGGCAGTGTCCCCAGCGCTCTCGGACTCGCGCGGATTTCAGGACAAGGGGCCAGAGGGAGCGGAGGGCACCCCCCACCCGGGTCAGAGGCAGAGCCCCGCGGCACGGCGTGAGTACTGCAGTGGCCAGCCTGGGGTTGGGAGAACTAGGGCGGACAGCACCGCGATGGGAGACCGGGAAGGCAGGAGAGTGTCGTGGGGGGCCTAGTGCCCTGTGAATGAGGAGGTGGCAGTCTATCCCCATGGAGCGGGAAAGGGCTTGGAAAGAGGGTGAACCTGGCCTATCCCATATGGTGACCAGGTTCCAGTGACCCCTATCCCTGGGAGGGACTGGGATGAAATTGAGGGAATGGGGGTGGGGTGGGGATGGGTAACGATGAAGAAAGGAGGATGAAGGGAATTGGGAGGCAGGGGGTGGCTGACAGGGAGAGGAGGCTGGGGGGGACCTGGTGCAGGCCTGAGGGAATGGGGGAAGGGAGGTGGTTAATGTGCTACCCCCTCTGCCCTTGCCCCTTCCTCTCTGGGTCCTTAGGTCACTTTCACTCCTTGCTGGGCTGTGCCATTCCCTAAGTCAGGGTTGAGTCTCCAGGTCATCAGGAGGTCAGGCACAAGTGGTCCATGCCAGGATACCCCTTCATCTAAGTGCATCTGAAGCTTGGAGAGAATAGAGGAGAAAGGGATCTTTTAGGAATGGGTGGACATCCCGGCCAGTTTTCCAAGATCTGGCTTTGCTATACTGTTTCTTCTTTGGTTCCCTAGAGAAAAGAAAGCAATTTGCAAAACTGGGCAGCAGCCTGAGGTAGATTGTTCTGACTAAAATTAGCACTGGTATTCTGATGAGGCTGGCACCCTGACCTACCCTGAATGGCAAGGGGATCTCGATCTCTCTGTGTCCATGAAGAAGACAATGTGGAGATTGGGGACTAGTCTGAAGTGTCTTAGGGCAGAAGCCAGGGCCACTGCTCTAAAGCCTGGCCCTGTAACACAACCACCCATCCACACCAACCTCAAGACCAGAAGGAAACCCAGTCCGGTGGCCCCTCGTATAACTCTGAATCCATCTTCAAAATAGGTGTCTTTGCCCCAAAGATAGGCCTGCTCCAATGTTCAAGCAGCATCCGCTCTCCAGACCTGGAATGGTTTGCCTGGCCAAAAGCCCACCCAGAGGAGACAAGGTTCTTACTTTCAAATACCTGAAGGTCTTTCACGAAGAAAAATGTGCCCCGTGCTCTAAAAGGGCAGCACTAACCACATCACAGAAAGGGAGGGGAAGGAGCAAGTCAAGTCCAGGAGGGCCCCCATCCCAAGGCAGGGTGATCCTCACTGTCCCAGGAAGAATTCTGGAACCGTGGAGGCTGCACAGTAATGGACCACCCTATATCTGGAGGTGGTGAGCAGCCTGTGGTGGCCAATGGCTAAAGTCTCTGGTGCCTATTCCTGGGTACTGGTATCCACAGAATTCCTGCACTAATGAAGGCCCATCCCCAAGCAGGCTTCAGACTGGAGTCTGGCTGGGTCCCCACATACAAGCAGTGCAGAAAGTCCCAAGAGTGGAATGGAAGGGCACCCCCTTCACCCTCTCTGGCCAATGCAGCTCCCCATAGACTTGGCTGCTTTGTCAAGGGAAACAGGGTAAAATCAGTGAGTTTAGCAAAGGTGGAGATAGGCTTGCCCCTTGGGAAATCATCATGTCACCTAGTTCTCTAGGCAGGGTAGGGATCAAAGAGAAGGCATGCATCCTCAAGGGGCCAAGAGCTCAACTTCCTCCTGCAGGCTGCCCCACCTAGGTCCAGCCAACTCTGCTCTGCTCCAGTAATTCCTGAAAAGTCAGTGAGGACCTAGGCTGCTTCTTCTGTGCCCTTGGTTGTCCTCTTTGGCTGGACCCTTTACCCCCTTGGCTCCAGGATTAGTCTGTCTGCAGGCTGATGAAGAAAACCAGGTGATGGGACCTGGAGAGAAGGGGAAGCATAACCAAGATATTTTTCTACTTAAACAGTTTTTAAATGTAATCCAGGATTAATGGGGAGAGGAGTGTGTAGAAGAGGGACTAAGAAGCCAAGCACAGGACTCTGGAGGAAGTAGTGGTCAAAAGGGTTTTCATGTTACCTCAGCTAAGCTCTCCTGGGACCAGGTGTCCTAGTTCCACACACATACACTTGCCCATGAGGTTTCAGGACTTCCTCCCCTTGGAGAGGGATGTGTGTGTGAGGGCTGAAGCTGAACCTGAAGCTGGACACATGCCCCTGGGGTGAGACAGACTCATCCTGGTTCAGGGATAGGTATGGATGCTGAAGCTGACTTTCAACCTGGGCTGCCAAAGCCTGGGATGCCCTTGAGCCAAGGAATTCTTGTGGGGAAAGGAGAGTGGCCAGTAACCAGGCCCTATTCCCACCTCTTACTCCCACCACTCACCTGGGATGGAGACTTACCTCCTGCTGGAGATTCTCTGTAGGGCGACAAGTAGGAGCTACCTCTGTGCTGCCCCCAACCCCTCCCTGGCCCTCCCAGGTTGCCTTGACCAGGCACCTGCACCACAGTCAGCTGATGGGGTCACCTGGGTTTAAGGTGTCTGGAGATGGAGTCCTGACAGAGTTCCAGGATTTCAGGTGCCTCTTTCCCTCCTGGATTTATCAGTTCTGGGCCCTCAGGGCAGGATCCCAGCTGGGAGGACTCAGGGCTCAAAAGCATGCAAAATAGGAATGATGCTTATACTAGAGTTGTAATGAGGATTAAATGGGAGTACGTTTGTGTGTGAAGGCATAGTAAGACTGCAGTACCAATCGAGAAGTGGAGGATGTGAAGGCCTGGCCAATGTTCCTGAGGAGATCAGTCTCTGGGGAGTCAGGACCACCCCTTGGCTGAAGCAATCAGGTGAGGAATCCTGGAGGAAGGGAAACCTTGAGCTAAGACTTCTGTGTCCTAAGCCATGTGCTAGTACTGAAGCCAGCTTACTGTGGAGACATATAAGTAGCCATGAGACAAAGACGAGTTAGAGACAAGAGAGGCAGAGACCAGGCTCAAGAGATGGAGTGGTTAGAGTCTAAAGGGTTGGCTACAACCCAAGCCCTGTAATTCCACCCAAGACTAGGTTATCAGGAACAGTGAGGAGATAGGGCCTTGGTAATGCGAGGTAGGAATCTGATCTTGCCTGGCTTCTCTGCTCACCCAGCTCACTGGTGATCTCCTCTGCAGCAGTCCTGCTAGGGCCTGGAGCCCATCTCCTCTGCCTACTGCAAACCTGCCTGCCTCCTTCTCCTGCCAGTCTTCTCCGGAACACTGGCCCTGCTACCAGAGCCCCAGGAGCCCCCATGAGTGCTGCTGAAGGGAATCCTGGATAGCGGCAAGGCCCTGGCTGGTCCAGGAGTGGGCACTCCACCATGCCACCCATCCTCCAACGCCTCCAGCAGGTCTCCAAAATGATGAGCCGCAGGAAAATACTGCTGCTCGTGCTGGGGTGTACCACGGTGAGCCTCCTCATCCACCAGGGGGCGCAACTCAGCTGGTAAGTGGGCGGGGCCTCTTTAAGTGGGCGGGAACCAGGGGAGGGATATTCCTCCAGAGCTGTCTAGTTAGGAACAGAACTGGAGGCTCCCTTTCCCATTCTTCCATCTGCCAGAAGAGTCCTCTGGGTTTTGCTCCCTCCCTCTATTCTGAAAGTGATTTCCATACATATCCTCTGGCGCAACACATAATAGGGAGTGGTCTCCATCGAACAGATTGACAGCTCAAAGCTGTAGAATTAGTTAGCTGGGAGTAGAAACCAGCCCAATTTCTTCCAGTTCCTTCCCACAGCATCGTGTTCAAGTGCCTCTGCAGTGGGCTATACAAACAACTCGTTGTGTGGGGCAAAGCCCTTCACTTCTGTCATTCTATTTCTTCATCTATAAAATGGTAATGATATGTGTAACCAGCTAGTCATCCTGATATGGGTACAGAGTGATGACTGATGGGGACTCAGCCCCTGTTCCTGGGTTCACTTTGTGAACCCAACAAGTCCCTGCACCTCTCAAGGCCTCAACTTCCCAATTTTCTACATGGTCTGGCTCTGAGAATGGTGTGAATGGCCCAGCAAAATGACTTGCCAAGTGATATGTATAGATATTATCCTGAGCCCAAGCCAGCCGACAGGAAACTTCAATGGTGTTCTCAAAGCTGCTTAGAGTTGCCCTCCTTGCCTGATGGTCAGGATAGTAAGTAAGAATCAGGGAAGTGAATCAAAGCCTTCAGGGACCTTATAGGTCATTAGTAATGCTAAACGCCCTTGCTTCATGAGAATCAGAAGTGAAAGTTTTGTGAGGGATAGGAGTATTATCAGTTTTGTATACTACTGTATCACTGGAGTTTACAACAGTGTTTGACACATAGTGGATGCTCAAGAACTATTTGTGGAATGTCCAAAGACCTTAACAGAAACATAATATAACTCTTTAAGCCAGTTACAGAGTAACTGAGAAAGAAGACAGAGAACAAAAGGATTTGGTGACTGAGTTGTCTCCAGATTCTCCTCTAGTTTGTTTCTCCATATGTAAAGGATTCCTCAAGGATCTCCAAGGGCCTTTGTCCCTTATATTACCCATTTCTGCACAAACAGACTGCCTTAAAATTTAGCAGTTGATGCCAAGTGTAGTGGCACAAGCTGTAGTCCAGCTACTCTATAGAGGCACGACAACCAAGTTAGGCCAAGAAAAGTTAACAAGACCCTATCTCAAAAACAAAATACACAATGGTAAAGCACTTGCCTAATAAGCATGAAGCCCTGAGTTCAATAACCAGTATGGCAAAAAAAAAAAAAACCTTAGTAGCTGAGCCAGGGTGGTGATGTACACCTTAAGTCCAGCACTCAGCACTCAGCAGGCAGGGACAGAAAAATCTCAAGTTCCAGGCTGATTGGGCTACAGAATGAAACCCTGTCTCAAAAACAAAAACACCTTGCAGCCAAGAATCCATGTGTAGCTTACTGGGTACTACTAGTTCAAGGTCTTCCATGGGTTTGCAACCAAAGTGTCTGCCAGGGGTGCAGTTTCATCTGAAGGCTTGATTACAAGGGACAGATGACCTTCAAGTTCACTCAAGTGGTTTAGCAGGCTTCAGTTCTTCGAGCAGACTGATGGACTGAGGGCCTCAGCTTCCTGAGGGCTGCTGCCATGTGGTACCATGCCTACCAAGAGAACAGCTTGCTTCCCTCAACATGACTTGAGAGACAAAGAGAGAGAGAGAAAAAGCCCAAGATGGAAGCCACAGTCTTCTGATACAATCTGAGATGACATCAACAGGCACGTCAAAAAGTCCAGCCACTTAGGGGAGGGGAGTGAAGAGGGGTGCGGCCAATAGGGATGACAAGGCTCATGTTAGAGGCCATCTCCTCTAGTATCCCAGGGGAAAAGCCCAGGCTGTATCACTCTGTGGCACATCCACCACCGCTGGGGAGGGACCGGGGTTCTTTCGCACATCATTCTCTTGCATACTCCCTTGGTCTTGCAGGTACCCCAAATTGTTCCCCTTGAGTTGCCCGTCTCTGAAGGAGTCGCCACCGCGCCCCAAGCACATGACCGTGGCCTTCCTGAAGACGCATAAGACAGCGGGCACGACGGTGCAGAACATCTTGTTCCGCTTCGCTGAGCGCCACAACCTGACGGTGGCCCTGCCGCACCCGAGCTGCGAGCACCAGTTCTGCTACCCACGCAACTTCTCGGCGCACTTTGTGCATCCGGCCACGCGACCACCGCACATGCTGGCGAGCCACCTGCGCTTCGACCGCGCGGAGCTCGAGCGCCTCATGCCACCTGGCACCGTCTACATCACCATCCTGCGCGAGCCGGCCGCCATGTTTGAGTCGCTCTTCAGCTACTACAACCAGTACTGCCCGGCCTTCCGGCGCGTGCCCAACGCGTCACTCGAGGCCTTCCTGCGCGCACCCGAGGCCTACTACCGCGCGGGAGAGCACTTCGCCATGTTCGCACACAACACGCTGGCCTACGACCTGGGCGGCGACAACGAGCGCAGCCCGCGCCACGACGCCGCCTATTTGGCGGGCCTCATCCGCCAGGTGGAGGAAGTCTTCTCGCTCGTCATGATCGCCGAGTACTTCGACGAGTCGCTTGTGCTCCTGCGGCGCCTGCTGGCCTGGGATCTGGACGACGTACTCTATGCCAAGCTCAACGCGCGCGCCGCCAGCTCGCGCCTGGACGCCATCCCCGCGGCCCTAGCGCGGGCTGCGCGCGCCTGGAACGCGCTGGACGCCGGCCTCTACGACCATTTCAACGCCACCTTTTGGCGCCGCGTGGCGCACGCCGGCCGCGCATGCGTGGAGCGCGAGGCGCGTGAGCTGCGCGAGGCCCGACAGCGCTTGCTGCGCCGCTGCTTCGGCAACGAGCCGGTGCTGCGGCCGGCCGCGCAAATCCGCACCAAGCAGCTGCAGCCGTGGCAGCCCAGCCGCAAGGTAGACATCATGGGCTATGACCTGCCCGGCGGCGCTGCCGGCCCAGCCACCGAGGCCTGCCTGAAGCTGGCCATGCCGGAGGTGCAATACTCGAACTATCTGCTGCGCAAGCAGAAGCGCCGTGGCGGCGCGCGGGCCAGGCCCGAACCAGTTCTGGACAACCCTCCTCCGCGGCCCATCCGATCACTGCCCCGCAACCCCCAGGGCCCTTGAGCCTCGCCCGTCTCCCGTGGGTCCTGCCCTCCCAGGAGGAGGCTGTCTCCATGTTGCGCCCCATCGGGGCCTTTTCTTCCTCAGGGGCTTGAGCCCCACGCAGAACTTGGGGGTGCATCTCCCCATCTGAGCCCGCCTCCTCAGCGTGGGCTGAACCTCACCTTCGGGGATGGCACGAATAGGCCCGATTAAGCCCTGGGCCACCCTCTCCCCTTCCCAACTGGTTGGTGACTTTGACAAGAGGTCTAAGGGCCATACAAAACTACACACCCTGCCTTCTTCTGGGACCTGAGTCCTCAAAGTGGATGACTACAAGCCCCAAAAGAAGGGCTGAGCCCAGGAAAAGGCTGTGCTTCCTGTCAGCATCACTGGGCTCTTGCTTTTCCCAGGGCTGCAGGGACCCCGATACTGTCTGTCTTCCAGGTTCTACCCTACCACAGACCTACGCTGCTCCCAGGCTCCCAGAACCAAGAGTTCTTGGGTTGGGTTTTGTGTTTGGTTGGGTTTTCTTTTCTTCTTCTTCTTCTTCTTCTTCTTCTTCTTCTTCTTCTTCTTCTTCTTCTTCTTCTTCTTCTTTTTTTTTTAATAAAACGACTCTAAAATGGTTAGGCTTTATGTCAGTCATTGAAAACCAGACTACCCACCTTTCAGAATGAGGCAGATGCCCAGGAGGTGCTGTGGCTGTTGCCATGAAGACAAGCACTCAGACTCACTCAGTCCCCTGACTGCCTCTCCCACAGGCCCACAACCCTCCTCACCAACACAGACCATGAGGACCTCAGCCCTACTCATTTTCCAAATCGTTGCTTTTCATTCAATTAGCATTTCCTGAACATATCCTTCATAATTTGGGGATTCAGGTGAACAAGGCACATAGGGCGTTTATCCTCATGGAGCTCCTGGGAGACACTGAATCAGCTAGCATGGGAACAAAGAGGAAGGACTGCAGCGAAGAGCACTGTCTTGGGAGGCTGGCAGGAGGATCATTTTCAAGTAAGGAGGTTCTTAACTCCAGTTTTACCTCCCCCGTGTGTCCTTGATGTCACCACTGGTGATAGCTCTGACCCAGATGAGGACTAGTACTTCCCCCTAGTTTCTTTTCAAAGCAAGATACCCTGTGCTTTCAAATGAAACTTCCCTGAGACTGGCAGAGAATTGGGACCGCTGTAACTTGACATAGCTGGACAAGTAATAAAAAAAAAGTAAGACCCTATTTAGGGCTTTGTGCATATCAACTTGAGACAAATACTCTTTTTCCAGGTGAGAGAACTGCTAGAAGCCCAGACAGTGTAGCTTCAGAGTCTTCTTAAGTGCCATGCTTAGTGCCATTCAAATAAAGGTCACATGCCACAGGCTAGGCTGGTTTCTAGGACCTTCTGAAAGAATGTAAAGTGAAGAATGAGATGCCGCTATCAGCTCCTCTCATTTTTCAGAGACAATGGTTGACCTGTTTGGGCAATGAAGTTTGCAGCAGTCAGTTGGCAGGTCATATGATGCTCTTATCATACTGTTTTTTTTTTTAATGTTATAACAAAATACCTGAGACTGGTTAATTTCTAAAAAGTTTATTTTGGCTCTGGAGGCTGGGAGCATGGTACCAGTATCTGCTCAGCTTCTGGTGAGGACCTCATAGCAGGAGGGAAGGAGGGTGCAGTTCAAGGCCAGCCCAGGGAAAAAGTTACGCAGACCCCATCTCAAGCAATAGGTTGAGTGTGATGCATGCCTATCATCCCAGCTATTCGGGAGGTATAGGTAGGAGGATCTCAGTCCGGGCTGGCCCAGGCAAAAACTTGAATCCCTATCTGAAAAATAATTAAATTAAAAAGAGCTGTAGATCTGGCTCAAGTGACAGAGCGCCAAGCACGAGGCCTTGAGTTGAACCCCAGCACCACACAAAAAAAAGTCACATTTTGAGATGAAAGAAGGAACCATGAACATTTCGTGTACCCTTTGGGGTAGGCTCTTCCTGCAGTCTCTTCTCCCAAAACACACTAATCAGACTGGAGGCATAGCTCAAGCGGTAGAGTGCCTGCTTTGCAAGTGTGAAGACTTGAGTTCAAGCCCCAGTCCCACCAAAAAAAAGAAAAAGAATATGCAAATGGTGCTGGGAGAAGGCACGACAATGGCACTAGCTGACATTTATTGAGGACTTACTGCGTGTGCTAGGTGTTTTTCTCCATTCTTCATTCATTTTAGTTGAATCTTACATTACCTGCAAGTTAGGTATTATTCTTATCCCCACTTACCAAAAGGGAAACTGAGGTACAAAAAGGTTGAAGTGCCCTGGCTCACCCAGCAAGCAAAGTTGAACTACAATAGAAACCAGAGTGCTCAGACACCGAAGTCCTGGTCCTGCTGCAACTTCTGCCATTGGAAAACACTGTGCTGCCCCCTCACCCACACCCAGCAATCCCTACAGTCTCCTTATTAAAGAACTGCCTTGTAAGGCCTCCTGAGAGTGGCCTTGGTGGGAGGGAGAGAGAAAGGGAGGGAAGGGCAAAGAGCCCAAGTGCTTTGGGAGTCTTCGGTAAGCAGGGCACGGTGAGAGAAGCTGGTTTTCTGCCAACACAACTGGGCAGCTTCCCAGAATGGGCAGGAGGAGTGGAGGGGGACTGCAGGGCAAGAGGCCTGAAGAAAGGGCCTAGATTAGCTTCTTTGACCTGGAAGGGCTGCTGGAATCTGAGGATGCCAAGGGGCCACCATCCCCCTCCCCCAAATCCTGCTAGCACCTACAAAGTAGCAAAGGACGGGATGGCCTTCCTACCCCCATCTTCCACCCTCATTCCAGTCTCATGGGATTTCACAACACACAGGCAGCAAGGGGTGCAGGAGTCAGACTCTAACACCCCATTACGAATGGGAAGACCGAGTCCCAGAGAGGGGATGTGGCTTTCAGGGGTGGCCCTGAGAGTAAGGACACTCCCAGTAGTGGGGGCCACCAAGGGCAGGATCTTGAGTCCTCTACCTCACCTTTATCTATGGCCCGGAACTCCCCCCTTCATTGTTACCCATAATTGTGAGAGTTGAAGACTGATGTCTTTTTATTTGGTACTGGAGCCTAAAAACAGCTTGCTGTTGGGTTTTTGAAAAGATAAACAAAATTGACAAACCTTTAGCTAGACTAACTACGAAAAAAAAGAGAAAAGACCCAAATAAAGTCAGGGATGAAAAAAGACATTGCAGCCAATGCCATGGAAGTGCAAATGGTCATTAAGGACTGTTATGAACAACTGTACAAATTAGAAAGCACAGAAAAAAGGGATAAGCTTCTGGGGACACATAACCTACCAAAATCAATGAGTAGAAAGTAGAAACACAGACCAGTAACACATAGCAAGATAGAATCAGTAACAAAACATCTTCCAACAAAAAAAGTCCAGGACCAGATGGCTTCACTGCTAAATTTTGCCAAACTTATAAAGAACTAATTCAAATACTTCTTAAACTGGCCCAAAGTATCAAAAGAGAGGGAAGCCTTCCAAATTCATTCTCAGAAGCCACTATTGCCCTGATATCTAAACCAGACAAGGAGGGTTGGGGGTGTAGCTTATGAGGCAGAGCACTTGCCTAGCAAGCACAGGGCCCTGAATTCAGATCCAATATCACCAAAAAGAAAAGGGGGGTGGGGTAAGGGAGGAAAGCCACACAAAGTCCCAGTACTCAGGAGGTTAAGATGGGAGAATCTCAAGCTCAAGACCAGCTGGGCTACATAGTGAGATTCTGTCTCAAAATGCAGACATACACACCCCCGGCAAGGATACAACAAAACTAAAAACTACAGACCAATATTCTTGACTAATATAGATGCAAAAATTCTCAAGAAAATACTGACAAGTCAGCTGGGTGCTGGTGGCTCACACCTGTGATCCTAGCTACTCAAGAGGCAGAGATCAGGAGGACTGAGGTTCGAAACCAGCCAAGCAAATAGTTTGTGAAATCCTATCTCGAAAAAAATCCATTCCAAAAAAGGGCTGGCAGAGTGGTTCAAGTAGTAGAGAGCCTGACTAGCAAGTGTAAAGCTCTTAGTTCACATCCCAGTATTACACACAAAAAAAAGAAAGAAAGAAGTTAGCAAGGCAAATACAACAGCACATAAAAAAATTATCTACCAAGTAAAGATTTATCGGAGGGATTCAAGAATGCAACATACACAAATCAATAAATGTAATACACATGTCTACAAAAGGAACAATAAAAAACTTTTGATCAAGCTGGGCATAGTGATTCATACATGTAATCCCAGCTGTTTGGAAGACAGATTGGGAAGATTGTGATTTGAGGCCAGCCTGGGCAAAAAGTTAGAGACACTCCAATCTCAACCAATAAAAGCTGGGTGGTGTGCTCCTGTCATCGCAGCTACACAGGAAGCATAACTGGAGGACTGTCTAAGCCACATTAGGCATAAATGTGAGAACTTATCTGAAAAATACCCAACACAAACCAGGGCTGGAGAAGTGGCTCAAGTGGTAGAGCACCTGCCTAGCAAGTGTGAGGCCCTGAGTTCAATCCCCAGAACTACCTTCTCCCCCCACAAAAAAGCTGAAAATGTCTCCTCTAAAGTCAGGAATGATACAAAAATGCCCACTTTGATCACTCTTATTCAATATAATATGGAAAGGATTAGCCACCATGATAAGGTAAGAGAAAGAAATAAAGAATATTCAAATAGGAAATAAGGAGTTCAGATTATCCCTGTTTTGAAGATGATATGATCTTAGGTAAAGAAAACTCCAAAGATTCCACCAAAAAAACTGTTAGAACTGATAAATAAATTCAGTAAGGTTGCAGGATACACAATCAACATTTAAAAATCAGTGGCTTTTTTTATACACTAATAGCACAATTGCTGAGAATGTTAGTCATTTTTTCATTACTGTGACAAACACCTAAAAGAAACAATTTCAAAGGAGGACAGATTGATTCTGGCTCACAGTTTCAGAGGTTACAGTCCATGATCGGCTGGCTCTATTGCTCCTGCCTGGGTTGAGGCAGAACATCATGGGGGAAGGGTGGACTGGGGCAGAGATACTCACCTCATGGTGTCGGGGAAGCAGAGAGACAATGACTAAAAGAGAAAGAGGCTGGGGGCAAGATATCCCCCTTCAAAGTCATGTCCCAGCAGC